GGTCCTGAGTTTGATCCCCAGTACCAAAAAAAAAAGGAAAGACTTGGTTTTAGATAGGACACAGATTTAGAGGGGGCTTTGAAAAAGGTTGAAAATATAAGAAAGCGGGATAATCACCTAATAAAAATTCCAAGTGCTTAGTGAAAGCACTTGCGAGGTGAGGCACCTGTAGGGCTAGTCAGAGGCACCGGAACAGCACGGTGGAGCTCTTACTTGGCACCTTCGTACTTGATTTCCAGTGAGCTCTTCCTAAATGAGTTTAACCTTCTATGACATACTTGGAGTTTTTGGTATTCTGTTCTCAAGTTCATCTTAAGGCTCTTTATTTCCTAAGGATATTGTTTTAATAGTTCCTTTTCTGAAATAAGGCCAAAAAAAGTACATGGCTATTTGATAGATTTTTCTTTTTTATATATGTTTGATATATAATATTAACATTCATTTTTGAGAATTTGTATATTTTTTCTTGATTACTTCTATTTCCCTCCCCCTCAGAATTTTCCCTCTCTGATTCTCTTGCTCATTATTAGTTTGCCTCCATGTTTCCTACCATCTCTCCTTTATTTTACTCTTTATTTTGCTCAATATTATGGGCTCAAGATCCATCCATTTTCCAGCAAATAATATAAATCCATTTTTTATGGCTGAATAAAATTCCATTATGCACATATACCACATTTTCTTCATGCATTTGTCTGTTTATGGACATACAGGCTGTTTCCAGGGCTTAACTGTCATGAATTGTGTTACTGTACATATGACTGTGTGTCTCATTGTAGTATGATTAATTTAACTCTCCAGAATCTACCCCAGAAAGGTAGACCTGGGTCCAATAAGATTTCTATTTTGTTTTTTGGGATCTCTGTCCTAATTCTCATAGTGATTTTACCAGCTTACATTTCTAACAACAGTGTAGAAGGATTCCTTTTCCCTCACATCCTGGCCAGCATTTGTTGATTTTTGAGTTCTTGGTGGTAGCCATTCTTTCTGGAACAAGGAATCTTAGAGTTGTTTTGATTTGCATTTCCCTAATGGCTAAAGATGATGATGAACATTTCTATGTCCCTGTTGGCCACTTGTACTTCTTTTGAGAAATGTCTATTTCGTCCATTTGCCCGTTTTTCTGATTGGTTCATTTGTTTCAGGGTGGTTAATTTTTTTTTTTTTAGTTCTTTGTGTATTCTAGACATTAGTTATCTATCAGAAGAAAAGCTGGAAAAAATTTTTTCCCATTCTGTTGGCTCTCTTAACTCTGATTGTTTCCTTTATTGTGCTGCAAAGTGGCTGCAAGTGTTTTCGCTATGTTATCTTCTAGTAGTTTCAAATTTTCTATTTTTATACTAAGTCTTTGATCTACTTTTATTTGGTTTTAATACAAGGTAAGATATATAGGTCTAGTTTTATTCTTGTGCATGTTGATAACCAGTTTTCCCCACGCCATTTATTAAAGAGACTCAGGATTACTCTGGCTATTTGGAACTCTTCTGGTACAATATAAATTTCAGGATTTTTTTTCTAGTTTTGTGAAGAATATTAATGGTATTGTAATAGAAATCACATTAAATCTATTTATCAGTTTTTATAATATAACCATCTTAATGATATTGATTCTGCTTGTCCAGGGACAGGGAATGTGATAGACCTTGGTATTATCCACATGGTGTTGGTTTTACAGACATGCAAAATGCAATCAAAAGGAAGGCCAGGCAGTGTGTCCCTGGTGGGACAGTAGGCTAAGCTATAAGGGTGAAGCCAAAAGTGCAGTGGAGGGTCGGGGATTTAGCTCAGTGGTTCCACCACCAGCCTCATAAGCGCAAGCTCCTGAGTTCGATCCCTGGTACCAGAAAAAAAAAGTGCAGTGGAGACCCCAGGAAGTTGGAGATGCCAGGAACAGGGAATGTCTGGCCGAGGAAAGCCACAGGCAATGAGCAGAGCCACCACAAGAAGGAGGCCATATGGGCTGTAACCAGCAAGGCTATTGAGGTGACATTTCTCATCAGCCCGTCCAGGCTACTGGATATGGAACTACAGGTTTTAATGTTGATCCTGCTAGATTTTGGTCTTACTTTTGTTCCATTCTTTCTGTCCCCCTATTTTTCCCTTTTGGAATGGGAATATGCCATTATATGTTGGCAATGTTAAGCTTTCTTACTTATTTTTACAGACTCACAGCTAAGAGTTTGCCTTGAGTTTTAGAGGAGGCTTTGAACTTGGACCTTTTAGCAATTCTAAATGCTAAACCTTAACAATTCTTAGAGATGGATTAAATGAACATGAATCTTTTGAGGGGCAGATGTGGATTGCTATAGATTAGACTAGAATGTCCCCCGATAGGCTCACATGTTCAGAGTTTGGGCTTTTGGAAGGTGATTGTATTATGGGGGTGCTACACTCATCGGGGGTTTTATCCAGTGATGAATTTAGAGCTGAATATGCTCTTAGGAGGTGGGGCCTGGTTGGAAGACGCAGGCCCCCTAGAGGTGTGACCTGGAAAGTTATATCTCCCTTCCTGGCTCCTCTCTTCTCTTCCTGGCCACCATAAGTTGAGTACCTTTTCCTCTTCTGTCTTGCTTCTGCCTTGGAGCCAGCTGACCATGGATTAAAACTGTGAGCCAAAATAAACCCTTTCTTTTTAAGTTGTGGGTTTCTGGTATTTTGTCCCAACAACAGGACAGCAACTAAGACAGTACTTTTGTGTGTTTGTTTTCATAGTTGTAGGCATTACCCTTTCATTTCTATTTCTAGAACTACCTGACACCTTTTTATGTAAGATCAGTCTAGGGATGATGAATTTCCCCAGTTTTTGCTTATCTTGGAAAAATGTTATTTTTTGAAAGATAGTTTCACTTGGTATAATATTTTACTTTGCAACTTTTTTTTCAAGGATTTGAATATGTTGTGTCATTCTCTATTGGCCTGTAAGCTTTCTACTGAAAAATCTGCAGTTCATGTAATAGTAAGAGGGGGCTTGCTTAAATATGACTGCTGCTTCTCTCTTGCTGTTTTTAGAATTGTTTCTTTTCTTTGACTTTTGACAGTTTGACTGTAATATGCCTTGGAGAAGCCTCCTTTCCCACCTTCTTAGGCAAATTGACTTGAACCTCCTGATCTGGATGTCCATGGCTTCCTCAAGATTTGTTTCAGCTATTATTTCATTGAATTGTTTTTCTACATCTTTCTCTTTTCTTGTGTTCTCAAACACACATAATGTGAATTATTTGTGTTTAGTGGTTTAGATTTTTTATTTTTATTTTGGTGTTTTTGTTTTGATGGTTGGCTGGTTGGTTGGTTGGTTGGTTGGTTTTGTTGTGTTTTGGTCTATCTGGGTTATTTCAAAAACCTTGTCAAAGTCAGAAATTCTCTTTGACCTAGTCTATTATTGAGGCTCTCAGCTCTATTTTCATTTAACTTTTTGAGTTCTTTACTTTTACTAATTCTATTTGGTTCTTTTTAATTCTCTTTCTTTGCTGAATTTATCATTCATATTATGAATTATTTTCCTAATTTCTGTTGAGTTGTCAATCTGTTTTATCTTATACCTGACTGAGTTTCCTTAGGATCATTATTTTGAATTGCTTTTTAGGCATCTCATCAATTTTCCTTTCTTTGGTCCTGTTACTAGAGAATTATGATGTGCTCCTATGAAGACATAATGTTACCTTGCTTTTTCATACTCCTTGTGTCCTTCTGTTGCTGTGTACACATTTGATGAACCTATTGTCTAGCAATTTTATAGAATGGCTTCATCACAAAAGACTTTGAACATAAGGTATTGGTTGGCAAAGCTGTATTGGCTTTGGCTCTAGATGAGCACAGTAGTACCCTTTCTATAGCTTCTTGAGCTATCATCAACATGGCATTGCCTATAGTGGCAAGTTTGCTGATGGCCCTGGGTGTGGCTCACACATGTGTGAGTGTGGGGTGCCCACCACTTTCCAGGCACATAAGACATGATTGGTACAAGAGTGAAGGCACAGAGCCCCCATCAGATTTAGTGGGGTGCTCCACTCTATCAGGCACTGCACAGGAATGGGTCCTCTTAAGTTTCACTGTGCCACAGGAGCTGCTCCAGGAGATCTGAGCTAGTAGCAGCTAGGTTTGGTGCCAAAACACTAGTGTTCAGTGCAGGCTAGGTGGGGGAAGTACAACATGAATTGAACTCCCTTTCCAGAGGAGTGCAATGGGGCATATTCTCCAGCGACTTCACAGGCCTGATTCAGGGTCCCTGAGGACTGCATGGCTCCCACAAATAAAATCTGCAGGCGTTTGCACCAAGCAGGTGGCCAGGCCCTCCCATTTGCCTTTTTCTTGTCATGGAAGACTGTCCCATTTCAAGCTGATCCAGACTGGGGTGACAGGGTGGTTGACATACAGTCCCTTGTTCCTTTGGAAGGTTGTCCTGACTCCGTCCCTAGCTGTCCTGCTTCATTCACACTACACTCCAGCAGTCTCCCCCAAGTATTCTTTTTTTTTGGGGGGGTACCGGGGATCAAACTCGGGCCCTTGCGCTGTCAAGGCAGCCGGCGGAACCACTGAGCTAAATCCCCGGCCCTTCCCCCAAGTATTCTAGATAGCAGCTAATGTTCTTTCATTTGCACTGGGGGCTTCATTGAGGAAGGCAAGCATGTCCAGCACCTCTAGCTAGCCATCTTGCATATTTCATTCTTGGACTCTCACATAGGATTATGACTGAAGATGGCTTAAATCAGTGCAGATTATTTCAGACATACTACCTCAGTGCATAAAAAAAGAATAATTTTCTCATATGTGCTTTTAAGATATGGGTCATTATGAATTAGTGAAAAGTATTAAATTTCTACATAATTTTTTAAAGCAGATTTAAATGAATAATTAGGTTTTTTTAACTATAAAGATATCTCACTTGATTCTGATATAAATTGATGATTAAAAAGTCATCTTAATGTCACTTAACCATATTTTTCTCATATTTGATTTATAGTCCTGGTTTTCTTTCAAGTTATTTTTCTTTTAAATCTTAGCATGCATACCACAAAATCAGAAAGTAAAGATGAGGAGGATATAAATTTCCAACCAACTACATCTAGTCAGGTAAAAAATTAAAACTATGTTGTAGTATATGACATAAAAATCTCATCTTAAGTTTATTTCTAAAATTTACTATTAGTTTGATTTCTTCCATATATCTGGTTAAAATAAAAAAGTATTAATGTTGAAATAGCTACTTAATGGGACCTAGAAAATGAGCAGAAAGAAGAAACAGATAGAAAGTGACTACTATAGAGTATTTTGGAAATAAATACGGTCGATTTTAGGAATAAGAAAAATATGGCTTATTGCTTCTTGTCATATTCAGGGAAATTCAGTAATTTAAAAGAACTAAACGTAAGTCTTTGCAATTATTTTAAACACTCACCTTTGCTTCTTATTACTTTATCTGAGAAGAGTTCTCCCCAGTCTGTGTCCATTTTTTAAAATTTTTTAAATTATAAACCTTAAAATAATAGGATGTTATTCTATATGACTTGTTGTAGCCCTAATAAAAATTCACCATTATGTTTTTAGTTCCTCCCTACAGTGGTAGAAACTGCAGAAAGTGTCTTAATGCCAAAAATCAAACAGACTAATCATCAGGTTTGAGAACTTTGATCTTAAAGAGCCACGTAATTCTTTTTTTACCCTCAGGTGTTGAAATGCCTTTGACTCTGCTGTCATTAATGCTAACCATCCCTTTCCTCAATCTGTCAATCACTCCAGGCTTTGTTACATTTCCTGTTCTCTTTTCTACTCTTCTCAAAATATTAGCAATCCACCTCACCCATTGGTGTGCGTGTTTATGCATCCCCCCATCATGGCAACCACATGGCAGACTTGCAGATGTCTACTCCAGCATGATCAGAGCTTGGGGCTTATTGTTATTGTTTTTGTTGTAATTGTTTATTTTTCTGCTTTTACATTGGGAGAGGCTTCTCAATATTATCACAAACCAAAGATTTATTTTTCTAAATCTGTGATTTCATTGTTAGAGTTCCATTTAAAGCATTGGAAGATTAAAGTATACACATATGCTATTTAAATATATTATCTATAAATACTAGTGGAACCATGCTTGAATTTCTGAAGACTTGACCTATACTTTTCTCATTTATCTTGCAGTTGCATAATTTATCAAATGAATCCAAAAACTATAAAATTGTATTTCGCTTATTTCCCAATTTAGTTGTACTTTTCATTTCAGAAGAGTTTTGGTGATCAATTTGAGGTAGACAGAAGATAAAACAGTTTAATTATTATGACCACATTATAGGCTCACTTATTCAGTATACATAAATGTTAAATGAAAATTTTGGTTACTCAAGTGTTTTAAAGTCTACATTAGAGTGCCTTGTAAAATACACTGCCATGACACTCCACATACCTATGTGTATTCCCCATGTTGACAAGATGCGGTGGCTTAGTACGTTTATAAAAATGTATGAGAAGGATAGTTCTTAAAATATTTCATTGTTTTACTTCAGGTCTATGGTGCATATAAAGGAACTAAAGAAACAGTCCTGTACACAGAGGAAACAATACCACAGAGGAAAAAGAGGACATGTTTTTCTTGTCCTCCACAAGGAATAGTCAATAATATAATGACAAGTGGTATGTGAAACAGAAATGTAAATGGAGAAAATATAGGAGGTGAAAAAAAAAACATAAGGCAACAAAGCTACTGCTTAATCTATATAATTTGGATTATTAGCTTTGTTACAAGCAATAATTAGGTAAAGAGAAAATATTTCCTTGAATATTTCAAAACCAAAGCCAAAATATTGCTTAATATATTTAATCTTTTCTGTGAATTTTGTGTTCAGTTTTTGGGATTGGAAGCAGCACTTGTTGAAGATTTTTATTTAAACCCACCTAATCCCCTTTGTTGTATCTATGAACTTTGGCTCATGAGGTATTACTTGTTATTTTAAGTTCACATTCAATGGGGCTTTGCTTTTAAGACTTTATGCAGTCCCAAATTAGGAATGTCCGTTGAGATTTTTTTAATTGTATGAAGCAATAAAACAAAATTTCATAATCAAGTAATGAGAACAACAATAGTTATTATACTGTATATCATTTTCTTCAAACTAGTTACTCAGAGTACAAGTAAACCCAAAAGATTCTCCCAAAACAGAAACAGATAACGCAAAACTTTTTTTCAATGAACTAAGATAAATTAGTAGTATAAACAAAACCAATTAGCATATATATTGAAGTATTTTTAAAACAATAGAATTTGTATTTGGGGGAAGTATTTGAACTTTGAGATGTTTTAAGTTAGTATCAACTAAGTGCCGTATGAATAGTTCCGTGAGAGGATACTTTTTAGCTAGATTTAGGACATTGGGTATTCCCAACCCATGAAAATTGTGTAAATCTGAGTCCCAAATATAATTAGATGAGCTTATTTCATATATAAATTTTCAAAGGGCCTGGGATGTAGCTTATCAATAAGAGTGCTTGCCTAGTATACATGAGGCCCTGGGTTCAATCCCTAATACTGAAGACAAAAAATACTTTAAAACTTGTCACATAAAGTGACAGATTGGAATACATCATAAGCAAGTTTCTCTTCAGCTATATTAGTTAACAATATTAATATTAGCCTATACTATGTATAATTATATAGGTCTGGCTTTTGATCTACTTAGTAAAATAGAATTCATCTTGTGGTGGGATATACATGTCTGTGTGGATATATAGATGTATTTTTTTATATTTCAGGAGTTATATACTTTATGATTTTGTGTATACTCTGGCTACTCTCAGGCCCTGAAGTTCTCCCTGGTGGAAATTTATTTAGACTAGTAATTATTTTCTATAGTGCCCGTCTTGGAGGGACACTTTTGAAACTCATTAGAATACCTACAGTGCCCCCACTTCCACCTCTTCTTGGTAAGTATAAAATAAACTCTTTTCCTTGTTGTTGACTATTTGTATACTTTGTACATTTACTAGTTGGAATAGATATAATTCAAAAATATTTCAATTTAATATTATCTATGTAGTTTCTTTGAATATGCATTACTGCATATGCTTGTATTTGTAGCTCTTTTGTAGCTGTGTTTATTCTTTGTATATATAGATTTTTTAACCTATTTTTAAAATAACTTGAATATACTCAATACATGATTCTTATTGCTTTATCATTGAATAAGACATTTTTACTTAATTTAAAATTTATTGCTAAAAAGAAAAATTTAAGAAAGACTGTTTTGTGTAGGTCACATAACTGGAATACAATTACAAGATTCATGTTATAGGGATTAGTATACCCAACGGTGCTGTGATTGTCATGTACACCATTTATGCCTCTTCACTGTGTGCACTCACTGTGTTTTGGCTCACCTGCTTGACATGCTGTTCCTTATCACCATTATTTTATAACTCCCCAGCTGCACAGAGGAAAATCAGTGGAGGAATTTCTATCTGGGGCGTCCCTTGTCTTTTAATTAACAACTGAGTTACATACTGCACCACATTTGGATATGTTGTCTGTTCTTTTCGTCCTTCATTCATTCTGTTTCCTCTGCTCTGTATTCCTATGTACACTGCCCTTGTTTTTCTTCTCTCTCAGAAAAATGAACTAAACCAAACATGCTTTATTTTCTGTATTTTTATTTTTTTAAGGGGTGTTACTGGCTGGTTTTATCATCAGGAATATTCCATCCATCAGTAAACATGTCAGAGTCCCTAGCAAGTGGTCTTCAACTCTAAGAAGCTCTGCCCTTACTATCATCCTAATACGAGCAGGGCTCGGACTCGATCCACAGGTAGACTGCCACTTATATCTTGAGTTCTTTCCAACAGCAGAGGCTGGTGGGAAAGAAAAAAGGCAGAATTTTTGTTCTAGCTGTTATAAATGGAGTCTGTAAGCAGAACTAACAACAAGGACTGCAGAAATATTGGCACCTTACTTTGTGTGTCTAGCTGTAATTGTTACTTGGATATGAGGAGACCTGGCTGTGATGTATTGTGTCTGTTTGTGGTCATCTTTCATCTTTTGCATGGCAATCAGTGTCCCTCATGTACCTGGATTGTTTGGGAGGCTCTTCTATGGAGACTATTTCCTTTTCAATTAACAAGGTATAAGGTCACCCAGAAAAAGATCTCTCTTTCTCTCCCTCTTCTCCTCCTCCTCCTCCTTTCTCCTCCTTCTCTTCTTCCCCTCCTCCCTTTCTTCCTCTTCTTCCTTCTCTTCCTTCCCCTTCTCTTCCTTTTCCTTTTCCTTCTCCTCCTCCTTCTCCTTCTTCTTTTTCTCTTCTATTTTCTTTTCTTTTTTTTTTTTTTGCAGTGCTGGGGATCGAACTCAGGACCTTATGGGTGCGAGGCGGGCAGCAGCACTACTGAGCTAAATCCCTGGCCCCTCTTTTCTTTTTTCTCTTTTCTTTTTCTTTCTTTCTTTCTTTCTTTCTTTCTCTCTTTCTTTCTCTCTTTCTCTCTTTCTCTCTTTTTCAGTACTGGGGGTCAAAACCAGGGGTGCTATACTACAGAGCTACATCCTTTCCTTTATTCTTAAATTTTGAGACAGGGTCTTACTAAGTTGCCCAGGCAGGACTTGAACTTATGATCTTCTCGCCTTAGCCTCCCTAAATGCTGGGATTATAGTTGTGTGCTACTGCACCTGGCTAAAAGGCAATTTTTCCTTCATTTTTGTTTTTAATTTTTAAGAGAGATTGAAAAGTTTCATAACTTTTTCTCCATGGAATTATGTCCATGCTGCTTATATCTTGAGTTCTTTCAAAGAGCAGAGGCTGGTGGAAAAGAAAAAAGGCAGAATTTCTGTTCTAGCTGTTCTAAATGAAAAACCTGATTGCTCATGAGCCGTTATTTCAGTATGTGGTTTTCCTGCCGCTTCTGTAAGTTTCTGTGTGTGACCTTTGTCCTCAGGCTCTGCGGCAGATGAAGACCGGCTGCTTCCGGCTGTCCTTTGGTCCGTGCATCGTAGAGGCGTGCACCGCTGCTGTTGTTTCCCACTTCGTCATGGATTTCCCTTGGCAGTGGGGGTTTCTATTAGGGTAATTGTTTTTGCTTTTTTTCACTAGAAAAATATACAGTTAATGAAGAAATTGCTCTTCACTGACGTTCTTTTCACAGTGGTGGAAAACCTTGGAAATCAGTTGATCAAAAGCAGAGCCATGTCTCAAAACTACCATATCTTTGACAAGCATTCATAGTTGCTAAGTGTGTGCTGCCAAGACAGTCCGCCTGCTCAGCTTATCTCTTCTCTGCTGTTTTGTAATGTCTGTGTATATTTTATCCTATCAAATGGTACCTTCTTTGGTCACTGTATGTATGTATGAAGGTATAGAAGAAATTTTTAATATAGCAATATATAAATAAAAACTCTCCCATTTTTAAAAAACATGCAAAGAGAAAATTATTTCCCTATATTCAAAGCCCCAACTATGTTTCCCACCGTTTCCCTTATGTCCAAATTCTTCAAAATAAGTCTGCAGTCACTGTCTCTAAACGTGAAGTCCTTTTCATTTTCAGTTAACTTTTGCCTCCACTTGTCCATTCCTGTAAAGTTTGTAGCAAGTGCAACCATTGCATATGTACTGCTGTAGTCAATGGATTTTAAATTAACTTTTCTTGTAAAATACTCAAATGTGTTATTACCATTTTATGTTTTTCACTTTTACGCTTCTGGAATTTGAACCCAGAGCTGCACCCACAGCACCTTCAGCCCTGCATTCACCTTGTAAAATATCAGAACTTTACAGATAAAGGTGACGTTCCCTTTATCACACCTCCAGTGGATGGAACTCCAGGGCATCCACAGCCTCTTCAACACGGGAACAGATTTCAGTGTAGCTCTTTCCGAGAACGTAGAATGGTATCCTGTCATGGATTTGATTTACATTTCCCTGATAACCACGGACACTGAGCACTTTTTCCTGTGCTGGAACTATCTGTAGATCTTCTTTGAATCTTCTACCAGTTTTTTAAATTGAGTTCTTATGAGTTTTAAATTATTTTTATATTCTAGACCCAAGGCTTTTGTCCAATATGTACTATGATTTTTTTCTTTAAGTGTGTCACTTGGCTTATTTATTCCCTTGTTTAATTGCATATCTGTTCATTTACTTTGTGACTAAAGCAGCTGAAATTATTTCTCACAGCTCTTGAGGCTGAAGGGCCAAGATCAAGACATTGGCAGCTTTGGTTTCTCCTAAGGTCTCTGCTTGGCCTGCAGGTGGCCACCTTGTTGCTCTGTCCTCTGTGGCCTGTTCTCTCACAGGCATTCTCGGTGTCTCTTTCAGTCCTCTTAGGGAGTCATCCTTTTCAATTAGGGCCCCAGTCTTATGACCTGATTTTTAATTGGTTTTAACCTAGGGCCTCACACATGCTAGGCAAGTGCTCTACCACTGAGCTATATCCTCAGCCCTTTTTATGTTGAAAGATGGTCTTACTAAGTCACCTGGGTTGGCCAAATTTACCATTCTACTGCCCCAGACTTCTCGGTAGCAAGGATTACAGGCTTGGGCCACCAAGCCTAGCCTACAATCAGTTCTTTTAAGCTGTCATCAAATACAATCCCATTGGTGGTGAGTTTCCACACAGGACTTGGGGAGGAGGGGACACAGTTCAGTTAATGACAGTTTCTAGCCTAGGGAACTTCTCTTCCTGTCTTTTCACATTTCTCCTTTTTTTCTGTCTCTTAAATAGAGGAATAATTTAGGGCCTGGTATCAGGCTCCGTTTGTTTGTTTGTTTGTTTGTTTTCCCTCATTCTGGCTCTAGCTTTCTTCTTACATTCTAATGTTTTCCAGTTCTGTCTACAAGCCAGATATATACAATTCAAGTCTACTGTATTCTGTTAACATAGGAAACATATGACAAGTTCTCCAAGTAGTAACATCCCACTGAAGCAGATAGCCATGTTCCATGAAGGAAGAGTGGACGTCCATCCTCAACATCCAAAAATGCTCATCTAAGATTTTGTGTTTCATTTTACATCTCATTATACAACAGTCGTGCACATTTTTGAGGATTTCCTATGTGCCAACCACTCTTCTGTGGGCTTTATACGTATTGATTCATCTTTATAATCTTCATGACAACTTTATTCTCACATTTCAGTTGTACAGATTAGAAAATATAGTCATAGAGTGGTTAAAGAAATTGCTTAAAGTAACACAGGTTAGAGGTGACTGGAATGACCTTGTAGCCTGACTCCAGGGCTCACATTCCCAGCCATGCACTGTGCTAACCATGTGAATGTGTAGATGATACTTACATAAACATAGCACTTCTAGTCAGGGTATGGAAGTTTTGGTCAAAAGGTATATCATGATAATTTTTTTTTCCCCATTAACTTTATTGGTACATTTTAGGTATAAAATACAGTTACATTCATCATTGGGATCTTGTAC